GATACAATCAGTGTTGAGAGTTATGTTCCAGAATGTGATACAATCGGTGTTAAGAGTTATGTTTAAGAATGTGATACAATCAGTGTTAAGAGTTAGGTTTAAAAATGTGATACAATCAGTGTTAAGAGTTATGTTTTAGAATGTGATACAACCAGTGTTAAGAGTTATGTTCAAGAATGTGATACAATCAGTGTTAAGAGTTAGGTTTAAAAATGTGATACAATCAGTGTTAAGAGGTATGTTCAAGAATGTGATACAAATAATGTTAAGAGTTATGTTTAAAAATGTGATACAATCATTGTTAAGAGTTATGTTCCAGAATGTGATAGAACCAGTGTTAAGAGTTATGTTCAAGAATGTGATACAATCAGTGTTAAGAGTTATGAACCGTTGGAAATCTGCTACAATCAGTGTTGAGAGTTATGTTCCAGAATGTGATACAATCGGTGTTAAGAGTTATGTTTAAGAATGTGATACAATCAGTGTTAAGAGTTATGAACCGTTGGAAATCTGCTACAATCAGTGTTAAGAGTTATGTTCCAGAATGCGATACAATCAGTGTTAAGAGTTATGTTCCAGAATGTGATAGAACCAGTGTTAAGAGTTATGTTCCAGAATGTGATAGAACCAGTGTTAAGAGTTATGTTCCAGAATGTGATAGAACCAGTGTTAAGAGTTATGTTCCAGAATGTGATACAATCATTGTTAAGAGTTATGTTTCAAAATGTGATACAATCAGTGTTAAGAGTTATGTTTCAAAATGTGATACAATCAGTGTTAAGAGTTATGAACCGTTGGAAATCTGCTACAATCAGTGTTGAGAGTTATGTTCCAGAATGTGATACAATCGGTGTTAAGAGTTATGTTTAAGAATGTGATACAACCAGTGTTAAGAGTTATGTTTCAGAATGTGATACAATCAGTGTTGAGAGTTATGTTCCAGAATGTGATACAATCAGTGTTAAGAGTCATGTTCCAGAATGTGGTACAATCAGTGGTAAGAGTTATGTTTAAGAATGTGATACAACCAGTGTTAAGAGTTATGTTTCAGAATGTGATACAATCAGTGTTGAGAGTTATGTTCCAGAATGTGATACAATCAGTGTTAAGAGGTATGTTCAAGAATGTGATACAAATAATGTTAAGAGTTATGTTTAAAAATGTGATATAATCAGTGTTAAGAGTTATGTTCCAGAATGCGATACAATCAGTGTTAAGAGTTATGTTCCAGAATGAGATACAATCAGTGTTAAGTTAAGAGTTATGTTCCAGAATGTGATACAATCATTGTTAAGAGTTATGTTTCAAAATGTGATACAATCAGTGTTAAGAGTTATGAACCGTTGGAAATCTGCTACAATCAGTGTTGAGAGTTATGTTCCAGAATGTGATACAATCAGCGTCAAGAGTTATGTTCCAGAATGTGATACAATCGGTGTTAAGAGTTATGTTTAAGAATGTGATACAATCAGTGTTAAGAGGTATGTTCCAGAATGTGATACAATTAATGTAAAGAGTTATGGTCCAGAATGTGATACAATCAGTGTTAAGAGTTAGGTTTAAAAATGTGATACAATCAGTGTTAAGAGTTATGTTTAAGAATGTGATACAACCAGTGTTAAGAGTTATGTTTCAGAATGTGATACAATCAGTGTTAAGAGTTATGTTCCAGAATGTGATACAATCAGCGTTAAGAGTTATGTTCCAGAATGTGATACAATCAGTGTTAAGAGTTATGTTTAAAAATGTGATACAATCAGTGTTAAGAGTTATGTTCCAGAATGAGATACAATCAGTGTTAAGAGGTATGTTCAAGAATGTGATACAATTAATGTTAAGAGTTATGTTAAGAGTTATGTTAAGAGTTATGTTCAAGAATCGGATACAATTAGTGTTTATCCGCTACACTTTGGTTGATTCCCCGACTTAAAGAATGTCTTTTTGTTTACATCCGTCCTCCCGATACCACAGGGGTGTTTGTGATCCCCCTTAAAGCTATATTTAGCAATCCACACTTATCGGAAATCGGACATTATAGGATAATATTTTGTATGAAGTACAAAAAAAATAGTTATTTGTCTCTGCTCAATGTCATTTGATCTGAACTGTAGGTGCCTGGGGACTTGTATTCAAGATACCATACATTGAAAAGTTTTTCGGGTAGCGACGTGATTTATAGAATTTAGCTGCTCTCTCCGTAGACATCTATTTAACTATTTAAATAACCAAACAGGTTGCTTCACACATAGAGCAAAGAACCTACCATAATTATAAACTTTAAAGACAAAGGTTTTCGTAGTTTCATCTTGGTACAAAAGAAATGTTGTGAGCGTTATGAGAACCACTAAGCGGGCGTATGTAGTTTTCACTTTTACGCTCTGATGAAAACGAAGACAAATTAATCGCTTTTAATGCTTAGTTAATATGCAAGTATTTCGTTGAAATTTTTTCTCTTTCGTTTCCGATGTGTATGCTCTCTCATTTCCGATGTGTATGCTCTTTCATTTCCGATGTGTATGCTCTTTCCGACTAACTTTTGGAAAGTACCGTACAGCTACATACATGTTGTAGACGATAAATCGAACGTTGAAAAATTTCAAAAACGCATTTCACTGCAAGGTTTTGGGATAAAGGGTGCATCGTACTTCACAATAGAACAACATAGTAGTTATGTATGACTTCAGCTGTTATAGTGTACGAGGGAGTACCTCACTATAAACAATATTATTGGTGACTGTCAGATACGTAACGCAGGCTGGTGTTTATGCTAGTTGGTATGGAGGAGAAGCATCCTGTATTATTTTAAAGTTAACATGATCTAGACAACGTTACAACATACAAGTATATATAGTTAAAACAACTTCATGTTGCTCACAAGATGCTGAGCTGAACATTTTTGGAAAATTAGCCTATACATATTCCAACGGCATTCATAACGACCTCGCAAAGTTATGATGTTAATATCAATTTTACTCCAGGATAAAGTTGAAATAAAAAAGTTGAAAAATGACATGTAAACAATGACACCCATTATATTGTGTTACTGACAGGTTTTTGTGTGTCATGAAATCTTGTCACTTTTTTCGACCATAGGTTGAGGAACTAGTATTTTAAGATTTTCGTTTTGGCCTTTCCGACCACCAAATCACACAAATGTAATCTCGTGATCACGTTTCCGATATTCAGTCCTCAGCAAAGCCTCTTACTGGACCTAAATGTTTTATCTCATGTTGAGATTTCTATTTACATCAAATATCAATAATAATCTGTAAAGGTTAATTTGCCAAATTTCAAAACTTCGCCAAAGGCTTGTTTAAGCCACAAATGGTGAAAATATTTTATAGCTAAAATAGAAAAGTTTAGCAGTAAAATCATTATCACGAATGTTGATAGATTTTCTAAAACACATTACTTTGTATTTCACTATTAATAACGTACCTGGCTATACTGTATGACTTTACACTAGCAATTATTATCAGGTGTAAAACATAGTCCCTAGTTAATTCTGAAGTAAGAGAATACAGTCAAACCTCGTTATCTCGAAGTCGACGGGGTCATGGAAAAACTCATGGAGTTATCCGAGTATTCGAGTTATGCAGATTCATAAATTTGGTATGAAATTTGCTGTTTGGACTTAGCACTAGCAGTTGTTGAGCAATCGATGAATGATATACATAATAGATATAACAAATAAAGTTATATAATTTCACAATAAACACGCTTTCAAAAATAGAGTAAATTATTTCCGAAAAACGCACCTTCGTTTAACACGATCAAAATGGTTGGACCATAATTGTAAATTCGTTATTAGATATGAACGGGCCTAGTGATTAAATGCGGTTTTTGGCTAATCTCGATCTTGGCAAAGTCTTTCCAGGTCTACATTTGTATTTGCAAGTCCGTCAAGTTTTACTTCTGAAGTGTTACATTCAAACATCGAACTATAACACGTAAACCCTTTGTGGGCGGAACGGTCCAAATACAGTAACACCATCACTATTTTGTCACGCAGGTGGTCGGGTCTCAATCCCAGTTCATATACGAGCGTAGAATTTTAAGAGAGAATATCTCCTGCCCCGTTGCGGAGGTGTTCAAGACTCCTTACAAGTAGATATTCCCTCTGACAGCACTCTATATGGCAGTGCTAGTGTATTCACAAATGCAACGTGGAGATACGGAAACCATAAAATAATTTTCAGCAAAGTATAAGAGAGTTATTTTATATGATAAGTAATCTTTATACGAAGTTTATTTCCTGTCAAATTGTATTATCAATATGTAATTGATATAATTGATAGTAATATCATTTTTTTTTTTAAATAATGTAAAAATGAACATTCTAACGCGTGGAAATGTTTGTGTTTTTACTATTTAAACTGATCATGGTCTGAAAGATTTCCCGTTGGCAATGATTCTGAATTATGTACATATGTATCTATAATCTATAAATCACTTTAGGCGCGTGGATATGTTCGCGCTTTTTACCCATAGTGAAAAATGCAAGCATTTGCAGTATATTCCATGGCAGTTTATCTCGAAGATTCTCCACGATGCCAACAAATTCACTTTTCAAAAATAGCAATAAAAATGTTAAACTCTCAAATATTAAATGGAATACTCTTATAATAAACTATTTTCCGAAAAAAAAACACCTAACGAAAACACATAGCATTCGCTATGGAAACATCTGTCTCGAAAAACATTAAATCTGCTCTATTAATTGTGTCGAGTTTAATTAACAAAAAAACAGCCATATTGTCGATAAGAATAACCTATGTCCCAATAATGTCAAAATCTGTAAAGAATTAGACGGAACTATTTTGCCAAATTTCTATTTTTAACCATGTTTCCGTTGCTCAAAGTAGCTATACGGTTAAAATTGGAGTTATTTTCATCAACAAATGCGTGTAGCTATTCCGGTTATACCCACATAGTGCACATACAATAAACTGATTTATTTGTTCATGAATTTCACAAATACTAAACTAGCAATCACTTACCGTCATTAGGAGGTAAATTGTTCAGAACGTTCGCTTCACATTGTTCCTTCCTAATACGAATACCACTATAGAACGAAGCAGGTAAATGCACGTATTTGTCCGACATCGTAAACTTAAGCCCGGAGCTTCTGAATCCGACCGGAAATCACCCTTTACCAAACAGTGCGAGTTTATTACTGTGTCGATTGGTCAAGAGACTTCCAGTGTTATCAACAGCGTACTCATTAGCATACCAAAGACACCCGTCAGTTGTTATAATGCTTTGTGTTCGAACGTGTGCTTGCTACAGTTGCAATGGTCGGATGATCTAGCGCGCGCGCTGAAGTTCTAGACTACGGCAGTGTCGGTGGAACAGAAGCCTTTATAAGGCAAATATTGTTCTCCGATACACGTAATAAACATATGTTGATCTCTTTCAGCTGATGTCATTTATTTGGCGATGCTTAAACAACCAATTACATGGTTTCCTAATTGATTTAAACATTGGTTTTATTGAAGATTAAGGTTCAACAAAACCCCTAGAAGATGTAATAGTCACACTGAATTTCAACCCCCTGGAAAGTCATATTCAAATATCCTTATCAAAAATTGCAATAAAGATATGTAATTAAAATATATTGAACTTGTATATGAGCTATCAAAAAGGTACACAGCCAGGTCAACGAAGTCAAAATACGGCCTTAAGGCTGATGTAATGATAAAAGTTGCTCACAAGATTTATAACATGTCAATCTCTTAAGCGACCCAACTGAATGTTACGAAATGACGTGTTATTTGAAGATCATTTATATACCTAGGTCATGCGGGGCTTTATTTCTCTTTAACTAGGGTCAATGTGTGGAGAGGCAGACCGGTCTCACAAGAAGATGATTGTTACTATGGGAAAGTGCACAAATTATAGTAAAACGTCCGCTTAACATATTTTACCAGTATGTATGTGTAAAATCATAGACATTTGACCATAAACATTACTTAAACTTCATATAAAATGTCCTTTGATATAAAAGAGTTTGACTTGTTATAAACAGTATCGTACTCTTCAGCTTCAATGTTTATATTGAATGAAGTGTTAGAGGGGCGATAACTCTGTTATCGTTCCTCTGAACGAAATGTTAACACGGCTAAATGTAGCTAATTTGCCGCATATAACAGCGATTTGAGTACGAAAAAAACGGCTCCATAACTTTTGCTGAAACTTTCCAAGTTTGTAGAACTCAGCGCGATCTACCTCCTTGTGTATCTGTTATATCTGGGGATTATTACTAGTTATTGAGATATTTGGTGTAAAACACGCCAAAATCGGCATTTTGACCATTAGTTGCTGTATAATTCACCCTGGAGAATTAACACTTAAAGCTGACGAACTGAAACTCCAAACATAAGTAGTCCAAGTTATTATGAAGAAAACGTTATATTTGGTTTTTCGATACCTTTCATAGAACGGCCCTGAGAGGGTTTTGAGTATGGGGTGTATTTCTGGGGTTTCGTGGAAATTTCCAGAAGATCCGATTTCCCCGTAGTCAAGCGCCAACTTGGGTACCCCCTCTAGGCTAGAATTGAGATAACAGCTTGTTGCGCATGCGTTAAATACGAAGAAATGTTCCAGCCGCTTATCCGGTTCTAAAATATCTAGCAAAATCCCAACATGTTTGTTGACGTTGCGCAACAGTTCTCGTTTCTTCAATATTTACTATCGTTATTTTTTGTTTCTACGTTCAATTAAATTCAGATTTCGGTGTGTGAAGCCTGTTCACTGTTTGTGGTAATCTCTCATTTGTGATAATTTGTTTACGTCTAAAAATAGCCACGGTAATCCCCAGCTTTGGGCACAGGGGCTAGGTGGTAGGTAAATCTTGTACCCCGTTCCCGGACCCGGACTGAAACCCCGTACCGGGAATATAAAGATATTTTAATATCTCATTAACGCGATGGTTTATAATTTCTATAAAAAAATAGAATAATTTCAAACATTATTTTCTAAATGTGACAATTACAAAAATGTCTATTTATTATCTAATAATTTAGAAATCGACGATAATGTGTTTTTCAAGGGGGTAAAACTTGTACGCCGCAGTCAACCGTGAAAATCACGGTTTTTCACATATAAGTAGAAATTTAGGGAAAATTAACATGTTATTTTCAGATATATAGAAGAAAATACCTTACTGTTGATAATTATGTAAGTTTCGTTGAAATAAACAACATATTTCACATGAAATTCTGACTTTGTTGTGATCGCGGGTGTTTTGTTTACTCCCGTACCCGTACTAAGGGGACATAACTCTGTCAAGCTGTCGTTATCAAGTAGAACTCTTAGCCATTCTATTAGAATGTTACCAGGCTCTGCGACGCGGACGCAGTTCTACATAAGAGCCCATATTTTTTTAAACTATATATATATAAGATAAATAATAGTTCACAAAATAAAAATTCATGATCATCATTATGATTGGTTATCATTAGAAAAAATGGGTATTTTTATAATAACTTATATTTGAAGAAATGGTTTTATGATTGAAATAATTGTGTTCTTTTTAATACAAATTACAAAATACAAAAAAAGGATTAAGTTGAATAGAAAATTATAAATATATTTATTAAAATAAAAATTAGCTGTAGTCATGTTTTATGTTTAAATCACAATGCTGGCTAACCTAACTAACTAAACTGCATTATTCTAACCTGACCTATATACTTAATTCTGACTTGTATTGCTGTTTTATGAACACTTACCACACTTCATAATAAAACTTATCCTAGAAAAATGTAAATCTGACAGATCACTTACACATCTATTATGAAACCATCTGTCACAGCCATCATCACAAGAAACCATATCATCAAATACATTTGAAATGTGACACCCATCTGCTTCGCAATCAATAAAAATATCAAATGATAAAGAAGTTTTCTTTTGCCTATGCCTACTCATTTTTTTCCTAGGAAACTTAGTAAAGATTCCATTGGAAATACATTCTACAAGATGTTGTCTCATGCAAGTGGTGTCAAACTCTAACTCTTCACTCCCGTTAAACCCATTGAAACAAAATTCTACCAAGTTAGCAATAGCAAAAACCCCACAGTCAACCCCGTTTTTCTGTTGTTGCACATTTGGTAATACTGTTTTTTAAAACTTTTCTATTTTCCCCATATGATGATGGTGGTGGAGGTTTTTACATATTATGCATATTTAGCACGAGTCTTGACGAAGTTATGTCCCCTTAGTACGGGTACGGGAGGAAACAAAACACCCGCGATCACAACAAAGTCAGAATTTCATGTGAAATATGTTGTTTATTTCAACGAAACTTACATAATTATCAACAGTAAGGTATTTTCTTCTATATATCTGAAAATAACATGTTATTTTTCCCTAAATTTCTAGTTATATGTGAAAAACCGTGATTTTCACGGTTGACTGCGGCGTACAAGTTTTACCCCCTTGAAAAACACATTATCGTTGATTTCTAAATTATTAGATAATAAATAAACATTTTTGTAATTGTCACATTTAGAAAATAATGTTTGAAATTATCCTATATTTTTATAAAAATTATAAACCATCGCGTTAATGAGATATAAAAATATCTTTATATTCCCGGTACGTGTTTCAGTCCGGGTCCGGGAACGGGGTACAAGATTTACCTACCACCCAGGGGCTAGCAACGATTTATATATGATAAGAATAAAAATAGTGAGAAAAAATACGTAACTGTACAGTACAGTAGGCCTACATAACATAATGTTATTTTATGTACAGTTACGTATTTCTTTTCTCTAATTTTATTCTTGTCACATATAGATCGTTGCTAGCCCATGTGCTTGAGGAGACATCACTACACGCGCGACTAGCATATTACCTGAGCATTTATTACAAAGATTATAGGGTTGACAATTACAACGATGACTGTAATGAGTCATTATCAGAAATTGTCACATTTTTTAGTCCTGTGCTGTTACTGCATTTTTTTTTCATTTACAGTATACATTTCAAGTGTTATTTCCTAAAAAATGTTGTTTTGGTAGGTATGCATATAACCAAAAAATACCACACATATTTACAAAATTTCTATCCTGTTACCAATACCATTAAAGTTTTTAGCAAGAAAACTAAAAAATAAATAGATTAACTTATTCTTGTGATGAAATATCAATATTCTAATTAATTTCACATACCGGGGGGTATTATTGTTTCAAAAGCACTGTGGTCGAACGGCACTGTATAGATTCAGGAAATAGGGATCACCGAAGCGAGAGCTAAATAAATCACGTTGTTGTACACCTCCAGTCGAGGTAAATTGGATTATTTTTTTAATCATTACCCATGTTGTATAATTAGTCAAAACGGATAAAGCAGTTATTTTTGTAACTTTTCAACCCGATAAACTGAAATATATATTGATACTCACTTCTTAATCTTACATAATCGATCATTAATCACAAGCGCTGTCATCCGAGTCGATCAAATTTCTACAATTCTGATAATAAATCTGATAAATTTTGATTGAATTCAGAGACGATGATGAACAAAGAGTGTATGAGGAGACATGCAATCAAAGCAAATTCTTGTTAAGTTAATGTGTGAAGTTTGAACAACCGTGGCTCTTAATCGACGACTACAGTATAGTTACTTGCTTGTTTATATGATAAAATTGACTATGATTACTAGTGATTGTACTGTCGATTACTTGCGATTTCCTTGTATAACTATTACATGGTAACAATAAGGGTGTGCAGTGCACCGAAATTATCGGTGCTTCGCGAATCAGAACTTTCGAATCGAATCACCGATAAGGATTTCCAGAAATCGGTTTGGTTCGGTTCAAATTCTTCATACTAAGCGTGAGTGTACGCACAATAATTTTGTACAATGTTAAGTCATTTTTGTAGCATTTTGTATTTTAAATGATGATATTCAGAAGATTGAAAGTGATTGTCAGAATTTCCCGCGAATGACGGAAGTCCGGTAGTAAACAATGCATGCAGCGCACCAAGCGGCGCACTGTCCTACGATAATACCCGAGTGCGTAGCCGGACTATAGGTATCCTCGGGGCTGATTATCACTATACTGCATAATTGATCATGAATGACGGAAAAAACCAGCAGACTCTATTTGGATTTCAGTCGTCAGATAAAGACGACA